CCCCAACTTGAGCTTCTGTACGTATTCGCAGAGAGGATTGTTCTGTGGAGGATTCGGGGTGGACTCTCTTGGTGGAGTGAACCGTACCTGCTGATGAGTTGGCTGGAGAAATGTCGGAGTGGATAGTTTCTGCGGCTCCCTCAGTGGAATTTTGTGTGCCTCATGCGACTGATAAATTTGGGGACTGTTCTGTTTAAATATAGACTGAACGCTCCTCGGTGGTGATCGCTGGCAGGGTGTTGTTTGTGGAAGTGATCGACTCTCTGTTGCGACAGTGAGGGGCTCAGAAATTGGTTGAGGGTTAGCTTCCTCAGGTGCCTTTGTTGGGACAGGTATGTCCACAATGGCTGGTTGCAGGTCTTTTCGAGGAAGATCTTCATGTGCTAATGTAGGAGCTGTTTCGACCGGGACTCGAGGTGTTGTAAGGATGGGAGCTTGCCAAGGAAGGAATTGCGACTGTGGTTGCTGTTGTTGTGGCAGTTGATGCTGAGGCGGTGCCGCTGGAAGTAAGACTGAAGCTGGTTGTTGCACAACCGTGACTGGTTGCTCTTGAGTTGGCACTGGATTTAACGGCTGTTGAGGATAGAACTGTGGTTGTAGGGGTGTTTGCGAAACGGCAAACGATGGAAAGGGAACAGCAGCCGACTGAAACTGTGGTAGGATATAAGACTGTTGCAAAGGCTGTATAATAAAAGTTCTACCACCTAAATCACCACTAAGCAGTGCTTGAAGGGCCGAAGGATCCTGTGCGATGACCGCAAATGCTGGTTGATTTGACTGCTGTAGTTGAGTTGGTTGTTGAAAGGAAGGTGCTGGATAAGCCAGCGGTTGTTGAAGTACCGGTGCAACAACTGAACTGGGTAAGGGATCAGTCGCAGTTCTTGTAGGCGTTGCCGATCTGGCTTGACGAGAAAAACCATTTTGTGAGGCAGAAGAAGTAGGCTGAAAAAAGGGTGCCTGAGTTGAAACTGGCTGGCCTCCAACAGGGACTGAAATGTCCAAAAAAACATGGGGACGCCAATCCACCGGTACTTTATCAGAATAACAGCAGATATCGAGGAATCTGAGGTGGGGTGTTGCCAATTGTAAAGTTAATAATTCGCCTCTGATTCCTGAAGACCGTGAAAATTAGCTAAAATCTGATCTGTCTTCCCAACAAAGAACTTGTCTTTAATGTGGGTAGATGAAATGATAGTTTAGAGGTAAAAGCCCTTGAATCAGCAACCGAAATGCCAACTTCCACCTTCCTCCATCTCCCCGCCCACTCCACTCCACAAGATGTTAATAAACACAACGAGAGGTGAAACTAGTGACTGAGCCCAACTGAGATGTTAACACTCCTGTCCATTCAGTTTTACTACCGTTGAATGAACCATACTGGGAGACCTCAGCAAAAGAACGAGGTTTTTAAACGATTTTCACAACCTAAATGCAATCTATTTTGTCCTTTTGTTCTAAAAAAGTTAGCTTTGATTGGTGGCTGGCTGATCCCAAGGTCACTGCTGGGCCACTTTATTGGACAATCTCCGTTTGCAGGTAGTGTACGTGACATTGCAATAGCGCAACAGCTAGGGACGTATAACACCTCTGAAGCGAATTTGCACCATTATGACCAACTTACTACGCCACATCAACTTATGAACAGCTTCTAAGTCATGGAAATTTTTTTAACGAATGGTCAAAATAGACGCCACCTATGACGTTACTGGCGTGAAAGATTCGGCGGCTGGATGAATGAATTTGGACGTGCTTTGTTTACAATGATTTTTTTGCGCAAAAATTAGCTCTGCATGGAACATTACCCACGCAGCCCGATAACATCGTGACCTGACGAGACTTCCATTCAACGTAAGGTAAACAACACTACTGACACTTATAAGTAAAAATGAAATTCAACCCGAATTCGCATTTCATTGTGAGAAAATAGGTTTTGTGCATCAATCAAGTAGCACGGTGGATGCATCGGATGATTGACATGGTAAGAATGAAACCCCTGTATTTCCAAGTCCAGAATTTTGATTTAGCTTATCCACTTGAGAGTACCACCATGGAAGTTTCAGCCAAATCAGAAAAACTAAGGATAAGACAGAACCTGGTAACGTGGCACAATCACATTCTCGCGATCGACCGCCAAGGTAAATACAAACACAGAGGAGGCTGATGCTGGTTCAGAATTTTAGACATTTGTTATTTGATTAACTCAAGAAAAAAGAATTTATTCAAAACCCCTTTTCATCGAAATTCTGATAGAACAAATAAATCTACAAATGTCATTTTAAAAATAATATGACTATAACGTTAAACTGCAGCTTTATGCCAAACAAGTAACATGTGATCTATTATGTACCGAAAGTTGAAGAGCGAGCTCATGAGGGTCGAATTCTGCGTGACCATTGATATCAAAAGTCTAAGCATAGAGGAATGCCCATTCGTGTAATTAGGTGGCGTTATCAGTTGCAGATTTCCCCTTCGAGATCTAATTAGGTTGGATAAAGCAGACAGCAGCACGTGCTTGTGTCGAATCTTAAATATAAATGACATGTAGTAAGGCTAGCCATCACACCAAACAATGAGGGAGAAATAAAAGCAAACCACTCAGTGGAATTGAGTAGGAGGCCACAAGTTTGCTAAGAATTTGCCGCGAGGAAGGCAAATTGAATGCACTGGGAGAAGGCGTTGCCTCAGCGGATTTGATTAGGGCATTTTAGGAGCAAATTTGATTACTTAACTCAGAAAACCTGTATAGGCACAGGGGCAATTTGAAGCAACTTCCATCTCGGAAATCAAATGCATATTTAAGAACAATAAACTAGGAGAAATAGGGAAACAGGTAAAAATTCCATAATACCATTTAATTTTCTTTGCTTCAAAACCTATAGAGCCGGATAGTTAAAATGCATATTAACAAACTATATCGGCGTTGAAGTGAGAAAACCAGATGGTCTTCCATTGCGAAAAAGGTGGTTTGCAGGTACACTTATAACAACCACAAAAGCTAAATTCAACACGTTATAAAATGTCTCCCAATCTTCGTCAGAACACTGATTCATGTAGAGCTCTTAACACGGCGCACAAATCTTATATTCCATAGCTAACATATAATAACCATAAAAAACAAACAATCGAACAATCAACAATGATTTTATAAGAGGTGATCCCATAAATAGTAGTCATGAAAACACGGTTTCGTAAGCGCAATTGCATGAACCGGGCCTATTAAATTGTTCAAAGCCCCAACCGTCACCCCACATGTTTAGGCACTGCACTCAATCTTTATACAACTAAACAAAATACTAATAAAAAACAATGACGTTTGGAGTATTTTATTCGGATAGAGATGATTTAACATAGGAAAGATAAAATAAAAAGATAACATAAAAATCACTAATGCATTTTTATGTAATAGTAGTAAGGTTTGGATTTAAAGATTGACAAAACAATCGACTTTGGTATGATAGACTTATCGTTTGTTTACCATGACACACCATCGCACTTCTTAGAGCAAATTATTAAATTACAGACATATGCAAAGGTCTAATTTCAAACTTTTCAACTTTTTGCTCAATAATGCGAGCAACTGATCATTTATCAATCATGTCACGACAACAAATGCTTACGCATAAAATTGTTTTTTATAAAACGAATTCCTTGAGGAAGCCATAAATTCTCATTTTACATTTTATCCAATTGTTAAAAAAGAACGCAACCAGTCAATTTCGAAAGGCCACTAATTAATTAAAGTCATTGGAATGCAATAGATAACGTAAACTGAAAGGCAATAGCACTCTTCTCCCCACAAACACCTTGTACGTCGAACTTGTGAGGTCGACGTTAAAGGAGAGCGAGGAACCTATTTTAGGTTAACCAATGACAGACTTGTTTGTTCAGTTTAAGTTTGCAAACAAAATCTGATGGGTCCATATTCGAGGTAAACCATAGAGACGTTCTGTTGGTGAGTTGGTTGACATGTATAACAAAATATGCAACCCAATCTTATGGAGCGACGAGGAGAGTAGCAAAGTGATGGTCATTCGAGATTATCGACCTCCATTTTTTTACCCTAAATGGGTGGAACATCCCTTCATTTTCACTGGATTCTTGACTAATATGCATGCCAAACGTTTTCGATATCCAATACTCAATTCTCCCTGCTTCCAACAGTAGAACATGTAAGTGACTAATCTAACTTTGAAGGGTTCGTCAACAGAATTTGCCTCAGTTAAGCTATTTCCTTTCAGTGCAATTCGTTTGTGAGCGCCTTAGTTTCGAACAGGATATGATTCATCCCTGGAATCACACCTTTAAATCATTTTTAGGTGACACCCCCCGAAATGTCGTGCCCAAAACACAAGAAGAAGTTATTGAGACCTAATTAATAGGTAAAACTAAATTTACATATCCGAGAGAGTCAAATTTTCTTGAATCGCGTAAATGCCAGTATCACTTGTTTCATAATGATTGTGTGCCATGGTAAATGGTAGACAGTTTTCCTCAGGTTGATAAAAGCCAACGGATCGAGTTAAGTCAAAGACCAAGAATTCTTCACTTACCAGGGCTAATCTCTACAGTCTGAGCTGCAGGAGAAGCAAATCGAACCCTTGGACTACTCGTACTTTTCGGCTCAGTCTTCATCGTCGATGTAGTTGTGGCAGTTGCAGCAGCGACGTTGCCAGCCTTTGAATCTGCAAGAGCGCTGTCAATGGGACTTCGTCGAGGGATGAATACACTACCCGGTCGGGGCTGTTTCATCACTGACTGGGCTCTTTGAGGTGCTGGTGAGGAAAGAACGTCGGCGCTATAGCGAGGCACAGCAAAAATCGTCTCCGGGTTAGCCGATTGGGCCGATCTATAGGCCTGCGATGGCGTTGGAGATACAATTTTCGAGATTGAAGACGACTCTGAGGTCACATTGGCCTGCTTTACAAGAGGTACTTTCTTACTAAAGGCTATTCCAAACGACGGAGGGACAAAATCCTGATTTGGCACCGTCATTGCTCGCGCCAGTCGATTTCTAAATAAAAGCGTGCAGTTTCGAGTGTTTTATAATTTTATATGTCAAAAGTCATGTCTTTACTGGGCAGTTGGAAATGCGAAATTTTGTCCAAAAAAGCATTTAGGAATTTGGATTATATGAGTGAAGCACTCATCAGCGTAGTGTAATGGCGAAGGCAAATGTATTTTTTGGGGCAGCAGCCGTAGATGATTTGCCACCGTGCCTCGTGCCTTATCAATGTTGAAGGCAAGATGGACGCATCATTATCTAATTACCTGGAAGCCTGATGGCGACGGTTTTACTTTTACTTATTTTCATTCAAATCATACTCTGAAAGTCTATTTTGTTGAAGGTTTGCAATTTTACTCCCCATACTTATCAGCTTGGAGCCGATGCTACTCAAGTCGTCATTTCAGTAGACAATGCAAGCGAGTGGAGCCCAAACAACAATGAGTAAATAAAATAGCCGACAGGTGCTCCCAAAGGACAACTTATATTAAGACTGTACAAAATCGTATTTTTAAAACTTTCCTGACAGGAGAAATAGGCTTATTTTGAAGCACGAAAGCATAGACGATTTTGTAAGTATTTTGCCTTGGAAATAGAAATTCTGTTGCCTTACGGGGTGACTACTGCTTAAACTTCTGCAATTAGCTAAATTCGCGGAATACTTGGGGCAGGAAGTGAAGCTAATCACCTGAAATTAGTCCAGACAGGCGCACGCTCAGAGAGGTGGAACATGAAGCCATGAATACAATAGATAAATGGCCTGTGGAACCAAAGCCAAGGCTATGATGAACAAAGATGAGGGAGGAAAAGGAGGCTTCTATTATGTAGTCAAAAATATGGTAACTTGTAGCCTAGTGTAAAAATTGTGAACACTGAAAAGTAGTTTAATTTGTCACTGACACGGTGGGTGAGAAAAGGCATCACCACCTTCAAAATGACTGCATTCGGTGAGAGGATGATGTGATTTACAAGACCACAAAACCAAGGTTGCATTGGATGGTTTATTTCCGCTTTAGACCCACATGAAAGGAAGTTGGGAAGTGATGTTTCCTTGTCCTATTGGGTGCACCACTATGACCTCACGTCAACCTTGTCTGACCTACATGTACATAAAAGAAACATATACTAATGATCATTATCATTTATGACGACGTTACCACAGCTTGGCCGGACGACATTTGTTGCACAAACGCACAACCTATTTGCTTAACTTAATGCGGGAAAAAGGCAAACAAGCTAACCTACTTGGATGCGCGTACCACGTGAATTCGGTGTTTGCGCCGATTTGTGGGTCAACGCATCAACAAGGCGGAAGCGAACTCTGGAAAATGCATGGCGCTTAGTGTTTCCAACTCCGTCCGGACTCACGCGGGCTCATTAGCATAGTCGTTAAACGCCATCTTAGCTTCGCACGATTTCGATGCGTGAAACGGATCATCCGGGGACCGGTTCGGGGGTTTGCTTAAGGCAATATCCCATGGCGTATGGACCGTGTAATCCAAATGTGACGTGTTTAACTCTTCGTTTTGGTTTCGATGGTATTTAAAGCTTTGCTTTAGCGTTTCAGGTAGGCTGCGCACCATAAACCATTCTCTACATCGGTTTCATAACAATTTTGGCGCATTCATCGACTATTTTGTTTAAGTGTGGATACCTTAGCCTCTAATCTGCACCCTATCTACCAGGCGCCTACTTTGCGTTAGTAAGTAGTATTTTCACCCTGCTTATAGTTCATTATAACTTTTTAAGGAGACTGAGTCAAAATGATCCCTACAACTCAAAGAAACAATCAAGTTTGCTTCTTGACCCTAAGATGGAACAAAACTTGGTCACCATCGACTGGGTAGGCAGGGTAGACCAACTTGCTGATTCGATTTTAAACGGTAATGGGAGAAAATCCGTTATAGCCGGGTGTCATTTAGTACAGATGTGAAAAAAAAACTTGACATTTCCATCTTAATGCCACAAAACTCACTCTCTTCGTGGGTGCCATAGCTTGTGTGTTATAGTTGCTGCCTTTGCTGCTGTTTTTCTGGGTGGCTTCTTCATCACTGCAGTAGAGATTGATCTCTACTGCCCCAGGCTTTGTTAGTAAGAGGCTGGGTTAATGTCAAACGCTATTTTACGGATGGTGAATATGCCTCAGCATGGAACAAACACCACAGGTATTTGACACCCAAATTCCACCCTCTTGTAGCGATCTGATGAACTACATCGTTTAAAAAGCAGACATTCTGAGTGAAAGGCTAAAGTAAGGCATATTCTAGCCTTGACATCGGACAACTACTCCGCCTTAAGTAAAGAAAAGGTTTATACATGCTGGGGAGGTGAAAACTTTCTCACACCTTAAAATCTCCTGTCAACAAAAGCCCCATCAAAGTGACCTCTAGCTACGAAGGCCACTTAGGTAGGCGGCAAAAGGAATGCGACAAGAAATAGCTACATGATTGCATTGCTTGATTCCTCACCAAGTGAGATGACAAGGATGGAGTGCAACATCCGAAGCCCAGCGGGGTGTTTCGTTAAGGCGGGTTTAAACAAGGCCTTTCCTACATCCTCCAACCCTGTGCCAGGTAAAACGAGGAAAGAGGTTTTTCACTTAAGGGCTTGCATAGAAGAATATCGCCTTCTATTACTTGGATAAAGGAGAGATTTAGGTGCACTTTGTTGAGATCAAAGTGCTGGGGCAAAAGTGGTGTCTGGGCCAAGGAAAGAGACAAGGAAAACAAAAAACAGAACGGTTGTGAACCCAAGAGTTGGCAGCAATGACTCGGCCAAAAGTAAATGTGAACATCACATACGCAAAATTGTCCTTTCTTGTCAGTAAAGGTCTTCTGAGGACATAAATCAAAGTCAAACTTGTTTACTCCTGTTCGCCTTTCCTTTCTTGGACAAAATGAATCGGTAATTGCAAAGGGCAAACAACGAAACCATGACAATGTGTCTTGACCAATAGACGAACAGGATTGTTCTAAGGAGGTCATCATGGAGATGTTTGGCGCAAAGCTGGATAGCATCGAAAAAGCGGAGTTGTTGTTGTTGTTTTGCATCAAATTACTGCTTTTAGCTCGAAAAAAATTATGTTCAATCGTCTACTTCTACTTTAGTTTTCAAAATTGTACGAAATCCCAGCACCGTTGGCAACTTTAGAAGGAATATGTAATATCACAGTCAGACGTTCTCTCAGTTGCACGCAAAATCAGTGATTTGCGAGGTTTGTTGGTAGGTGCGTCTCTTGCATTACCCACTACACTGAGACAGCCAACACGGATGACTGACCTAAAAAACCCCTCCGCTTTGGTTGCCTGGACACTTAAATCTCCGCCTTTTTACTTCTGCTGGGTTGCATGGCCTCTGGGTCTGCCAATAGCCCCTTCAATCCTCCCATCGGTCAGCATCACATATTCCACTCGAGTGTTATGTCTTCTTCCATCTTCAGGGCAGTCGCTCGGGCTGCCATAGGAACGCGCTGCACGTGTCGGATTGCCACTAGGTGTCGTTAAAGGTCTCCTGAGGGCATAAATCAGAGCCAGACTTAAACACATCCTCTTACTTGCCTTCTTCTTGCCTTCAAGTACATGGCAAACGTAAAGGGCAATGATTTTCAGCCAAAATACTTTACTTGATCAGTAGGAATGGATAGTGCACCACAAGTTCCATTCCCTAGGAAGTGCAATTTATTCCGATTGCGCGGTGCTTAGGCTTACTAGGTTAAATTGATCGGGGAAGTAAACCTCACAAATTTAATTGCCGTATGATCCGCTCTAGAGAAGCATAATTAAACACTGGCGACTTACACCTGCCTTCTACCTACTAATGCCCTTTTAAGTAGTATCCCATTCAAGCCATTAAATGCCATAGGTAAAACCCGTTTATTACTGGATGCAAGTAGATTTTTAACCGTGTGTAACTTTTAACACATAATAAAGACGAAAGTAGGTTTTTAAACAGTTATAAAGGCAAAACAAATATTAATTGCAGTACAAAACGGACTAGATGTATTCGAGGCAGGCCCCGCTTTTTGCTTGCATAAAATGACATACTATCTAAATTAAGAGCCAATTTGTAATCATTAATGCTTCCAGCCTCCTGGTACTTACTTAAATTGAGATTTGTGAGTGTCAAGAGCCCGAAGGGAGGAGACGATCTCTTCCCTCCACCCCTCCTCTTTTCGCTACTCCAAAGTATAAGTCGATAAAAAATCATGTTTACAATTAAAATGAAGTGGAATCATAAAGCTCTTTCCCAATTTAAATAAAATTTGTCAAACCCGAGGGATGGAATTCCTCGGCTACACATAGACGCATTGCTAACACACTAGATAAACAGCAGGTTCGTTAACTCGCTGAAAGCCAGGACACAAGATCAGCAACAACCGTTCCCACCCTAAATAAGTTATTTAGGAAGCCATTTAAAGTGCACAATGCATTGGTATGCAATGAAATGAAGCGAAATAAGGTGCGCTGCCTGTGAACAGTAGCTATTTGCTCCGTAGTTTTCACGTCCTCTCCGTGGCATTTAGTCTGAATGGGAACCAACTGTTCCCCTATCATCTCCCTTAAACAAACCCATCTAGACGTCATGGGTAGAATTTGGGCAACGTTGAAAAAATACAGGTCCCATTGAATCCCGACGGATGGTTGTTCTGCACTTCATGGACGCACCGGTCGGCCTCATCAAGACCCATGAACACATTTTCATTTCGCTTTCTACCATAAGAAAGGATTGAAGAACGCCAAAGACAAAGTTGTAATAGAGTGGGGTCATTTATCCTGCGTCAAAATTAGTAACAAGAGTGACCATAGAATAGGCATGGAAGTACCTCTGATCAAAAAAGAACCGCCTCTCAGAAAGGCTTCACTCTAGCAGTTGGCATAAAGACACACATAACGCGCTTAAGGACTTTGAGACGCCAAATTCTTTGTTCATCATGCAAATTTAGGGCCAGGACGTGGGACGTGCCAGGTAACGTTAGATTTTATAATTTATT